ATACTTGGAGGGCGGCCATCAATCATTTATCCCGCTCCGTCCGCGCTGCCGTGGATCCAAACTGTACGCGGAAAAACTTTAAAGTGTTCATGTAGAGTTACTGTGACGTATCACATAGCGAACTTGTTCTCGACATATTTACTTATGTATTATTTTATTATCATCTTTACCTACCCGTCGTGTTTACTCTTTTATTAAGATGATATTGTTAAAAGATATTGTTACTAAAACAACATGCCATGCACAAAAACAAATAACTAAAAAGATCTCTTTCAAATAACATTCGAGAACATTAAAGAAAGAACATAAACATAATTACTAACTACATACAAATGTTATGACTGCAAAATTTGCATATAATTAATATTTTCATAAACAATACTTAACTTTTCGTGTCCATAGATCTATATCTACAATCTAGCTGTTAAGTTCTTACAAACTTCTTGATTTCTCTGATCAGTATCATACAGAAATTTTGTATCGTTTTACTCTATAAGCAATATCTGTTATACCTATTCGGTATAAATTCTTTAGCGTAGCTGCTGCTGTAATTCAATGAGTTCTTCCCAACTTGCCCGGTAAGTAAAATTAGGAAAATGAAATAAATATATAGTTCAGAATAGCCTACGATTTCTAAACGACGAATAAATAGCAATACCGAAGAAATAAACGATTATAACAGTAGTATAATCCGTGTGTTGATATTTTTCTATAATTATTTCTAATATTATAATCGCGGAAACTTCTGAGTACGGATGATTGAATATTTCTTACTCTTTCACACAAAAACTGTTACATGTATTATAATGAAACTTTTCAATATTATAGTTTATACATCAGAATAACACCTGGGCTATGGCAATTTTATGTAGGTGAAATTGCGGGCACAGTTAGTTGATTGTATATAGATGAATTACAATTATTCAATAGATTTAAAATCTCAACACAACGATTTTATTTCAATTAGATGTCTGAATAAAAATATAAGATCAAGGCAAGTTTAGTAGGGAAATCCTTATAGCTTAATTTAAATTACATATAAGCGTAAAACAAGTATTTTTGCCTTTAACTTTTGTACTTAGACACAGTACTGGGCTCATTCACGTTTGAAAGCAATAATATCAAAATGTACTCGGTTTGCTACATATTCATGTGATCATTAATTATATATGAGTATATGGTACGTATACATTAGACTTAGCTATTTAATAGTAAGTAGACGTAATTCATCAAATCTTGTCGTAAACGTTATAAAACTCTGCCAGCCTACAGAAAAGCAAATAATGCAAAAGAAGAAAAGAAACTGATCTGGACAGATACTCGTATGAGTGTTTTATGAGCACTCAAGTGGCTTCCGATGGGGATGTTTAAAACTCCGCACCCTGAGTATCGCGGATCGAGTGCGTGCCACTCGAACCATGAAAATGTCGGATTCGATCCCATACAAGGACACTTTATGAGCGGTTAAAAGTTTATGAATGTGCTTATTCGCTTACAATGTTTGGACGAACTATTGCGGAAATGCACACTTCAGGAGTTATAATTATTAAACATATATACAGTTTCGTAATTCAAGTATGACAGCTAATTCGAAGTAGTATTTGTATATATTTGTTTGCAAACTTAACTATGTTGTATATATATATATGTTATTAATTTATTCCTTTCTGTATACATACTACATTACAAACTATTAGGTATCAGATATCATTAATAAGATATCAGTGGCATAGAAATTATAGGGTAATGAGGTAAAAGTATAAGAAATGAAGACAGAGGAGTAACCTCATTCTTTATTTTGTCTCCAGTGTTATTTATGTTATATGCAAAATTTGCCCTTTTTTATTATTAAGCTTTTTAACATGTTGACATGTTAAAAAGCACTTCATTGTTTAATGTTCTTTTATCAAATAAACAAAGAGTCTAGGTACGTTTGTACCATTTTTTTTAATTACAGTACAATAAATATGTATAGTTCTATTATATAGTTGTATCTACCTAATGGAATTAAAACCCAGTACTGTTCTGAAAATGCATTAAATGTAACAGGAGTCCACAAAGAATGGTCTGAGTTATATCAATTTTACCGCGATGTTAAACGAAGTAATAACGTTTTTATTTCACCATCAGACGGACGAAATAAAAATAAGTATACGAATATTATACCTGAAAGTTACTGTAGTTATAAGAGCAGAAGAATATTCGCAATATAAACTTTTATGTTTATTTATACCACATGTGCTAGATTTTAATTATTCAAAATAAGTACCAATAATTCTGTTATCTTTAAAAAAAGTCTTTTACAGCAACGGTTCAGTAAGTTCTACATATTTATATATCAATTTGTATGTTGATAGTGATATTCCAGGTTTCGTTGGCATAATATCTTAGTCCTCCAGAATACACAAAATAAGGAAATATAAATACATAGAAAATAAATATAAAACACTTGAGGGATAGGAGATGTCCTATCATTGAAATTCACGCCATCATGTCATCACATGATGGCGTGAATTTCAATACCGGTAATGAATACTATTACCATTTCACTATCACTACACCACACTATCAGTGGACTGTTAATGATATTAACAGCTTGTAAACTACTTAGTAACATTAAAAATACCATAATAAAGATGGATCTATCTAGAACTGATACTCGTGACAAGCCGGTAAGTTTGAATTTGAATTTAAATGAATACACCACGTTTAGAGTACCGATATTTGCTTGAGCTTTTTCAGTTTTTTTTGTAACATAAAACGTAACTACTGCTTTCTTTTATTTTGCTACTTGATTCTTTTCTTACGAGTATGCATACTGTTCATAACATTGTGCGATTGCTAACCTTTATCTTTGTACAAAGGTAAAGTCTTATAACAATAATGATATTCTGAAAAACTGTTTTGAGTTTCCACTGCAAACAGCACTTCCCGGAAGTTCTAACAATACGGCGTTGTAAAAATTAAATTACGGTGAGACTCTAGGGAGGTTTCAATTTTCAAGCAAGAGGCTACGATTTGAGACGCACCGTTCTGCACTAAAATAATATTATTGCATTTGCAACTGCCACTATTTTTTTTAAACAGTAAAATATTGTTTGCTTATGTAATATATATTAATAGTAATATTAACATATACATTCACATACTATTATCCCAGATAGGGTATTAACATTTCAACAACTCCAGCGTGCGTACTGCAGTCCAAGTCATTAATTTAGTTTAATTCCGTTACTTCCTACAACAGTCAGTAAAATAAATTGAGACACAAAGGTTATTGATGTCACCGAAATATGAACTTTTGACCTTTCGGAGAAGATAACCACTACATAGCAATATTGTCAATGATTACGATGGTATGCAACAATTAATTAATTTCAACTAATTGCAATTATTTTTTGACAATGTACCAATAAGTAAAATGCTTAAATACCTGTGATATTGTTATTGCTATTTATCAACAATAATCGCTACGTACTTCGAAACATTGACATTGTTTGTTATTTAATTTAAAATAACTGGCCACTAAGCACAACTGTCTCTATGTAAATATGTATAATGTAAAAAATATAAAATAATAAAATAACCGGTGGTACCTTACCGGTTGGCCTCGTACACCGAAGGTTTCGAGTATTATCTTTCTACAGGCACATAAATACTTTTTTCTCTTGCCCGCTCCCCTTTTCCTCTGCTGGGTTCTTATTAAAAGACTTTAATCATAATGTAATTAACATTATGATTATTTTAATATCCACAATATGGCAGAATCAGAATAAGTCTTTAAGTAGTTTAAGCAAGCTTTAAGTTTAAGCATTTATTTTCCTTTATATAATGTAGATATTAGAATTTAAAGTCTTCGTTATATATTTACTACATCAGAACAAATTAAAGGGAATGGAATATAGTTTACTTTAAGTTTAACTTATTACGGTCCTCGAGAAACAAGCACTCGGAGGCTCGGCCGACGCGCGGGTCAAGTGCCCAATTTGTCACCCGCGCAAACTTCCGACTACTTCGGGCCCGCCCTGTTCGATTCCATTAAACTTTCAAGACCTTTTGAAGCTATTTTCTTGTTTGAATCAAGATTTGCCTAATTCATTTCCATGCCCACATAATATTTCAGAAGAGGATTATTTTATTGACACTAATCGTTACTTTCAAATAACTAATACTAAAGAAGAATATTGTGTCTGAAGAAGAATAATGGTCTGTTATAACATTTTATTCGCTTACACAGATTGTATGAAGTTATTTTTAGATTGTTTAGTAATAGTTTGTTGCTTTTATTCATCTCATCCACTGTCACTAAGTAAAAGAACAAATCGGGGTAGCATTCACTCCGGGACACTTACAATGCGCTATCATAAAAATTAAATTACGGTAAGAGTTTCTCTGTAAGTGCGCGCCATTTCAGCGAGGCGCGGTTGGGCGGGGGCGAGGAGCACGCCACATCAAAGCTCCTCATACTACTCGGAGCTTTCGTCCAAATCAAATTTAGCAGCCTTCTTTCGTTACAATTCTGAAACACGGTTGAGTATCTGACCTGTGGTTTGTTACACACCTACCTGCAAAATTCATCAGCACAAAAACGACCTTTTCGAGGTTCTGAAAAATGTTGTCATATGAGCGATTTTAACTTGATGAAAACTCGGTAATGTAAACAAGAAAAAAGTTCAAAGAGAACGTAAAAGGAATTAAAGTCAGAGTTCTTTACGTACACGCGCCTCGGGCATAGCAAGATCAAGTGGCTAATTTGTCAGCGTAAGTAAACTTAGCGGTACGGACTACCGTAGCTGTGGACGCTGCAATTCGATTAAACTTGTGTCGAAGTACATACACAAGAACGGGACCCAGCTACTTAACGCAACCCAACTGTACATTTACGGCGGAAATTTAATTAGTTAATTCATTGGGAGAGATATAGACCTGCCCGCCGAAATACCAATGATTTATATGTAACAATGCATTAGATATATACAATAAATAACAAATATACTATATCAGAATTCTTCTTTATAATTGAAATCTGTAATTACGATAATTATTTCAAAATTATGCGACACTGTATATGTCACTAAAGAATTTTTAACACATTTTTGGTTCATTTCTTTATTTTAAAACATAAATTAATCCAACTTTGTTCATCTTTGTTGACCAAGTAACTATACTAAATAGGCACAATGTTTTTGTAAAATTTTATATTGGTTTAAATGTGGAAATCAGTAAATATATGCTTTATGCAGTATTTGTATCTTTTATGCCATTATATGTGGCCTTAAATACAATTTTCACTTTTATACGTATAATTAGAAAAAAAATGTAAACATACAAACAGTATATAATTTTAACGTTTGTTTTGGAGTATAAAATCTTATAACATATAAGATTTTATACTCCAAAACATTTACAATAGAGTTATTAGTTAAAAAGTCATGAATGAAAAATTAATTAATAAATGTAATTTGAATACTGTGAATTAAAAATTGTAATAGGTGAATACTGGGTTTTATACAGCCTAGGCTCTAAATAATTAGTATAAATGAGTTCGGATCGGTTTGCTCTCTCTAAGTAGTAATAGTCTCTGAGTACAATAAGTTCAGTTGACTCTAGTTTAGTACAATGATGGCTGGATCATCCGTACTCGTAAACACAAATAACTGACGGTAGGTTTAAAATATCATAAGATATATATAATATAATAAACCTACATCAATAAAGATATTTTGATTTACTTCCATTGATACAATAGATGTTCCGTAGAAGTAGCGATGATTTTTTTAATCAAGCAATTTCTTGTTTTATATATAACTTGCATTTGTTTAATTATGTATTACGCCATTTAACTACAGACATAAACTGAAATTAACGTATTCAAATTTTCCACCGAAAAAACAGAACCAATAGTAGTGGCTAGTTACCTGTCTTCTTGAAATCCCGTTAAACAACATAAATCCATTACTATATGTATGTAAAAGCAGAATGTTTAGTGCCCCAATTTTGGTGCTTACAGCGATTTTGTAACAATAAATATATTTGTTCACATAGTTGTAGTTAATGGTCAGTTTACTACATATTTATTGATTAAAAAAATATAGAGGCTTATGCGACTCTAGAAACAAAGATAATGTTGTTCTCTTAGTATGAACTAATTAATTTTGGCATATTTTTAACGGCGGCGATTACTTGAAAATTATTAGACTAAAAACATTGTAGGTATTATATTGGTAAACACAAGAAGCACCCACGGATAATGACTTATTTCAGCAAGCAACAAAGAAAAATAAATTATTATTATACTACTACTAGTGCCTGCGATTTCACCCGCGCTAAATTTCAATAAAAATATAGCCTATAGGTTATTCTGATGCCTATATTACTATAAAGATTCATTAGAATCCGTACGGAAGTAGTTTTTGCGTGAACGAGTAACAGACATCCATACTTACAAACTTTCGCATTAATAATATTAATAAGATTATCATACCTTCAGATAAGTAGAGGCGATCAGGTTCAGCAGACTGTTCACAAGGCACAGGCCTGTGTCGCAGTGTCACGTGCAAGGAAGGACCTCTTGGAGGTACCTCAGGTGGTGCTGGTTCCGGGGGAGAATCACATTCGCGCTCATTAGATACATTACTTGTTGGACCTATAAAATAAATAATAAAGGTAATGAATTTGTATTTTTTTCAAACTAGTAGGTATTAAATAAAACCTCATATATCTTTTACTTTAGTTATTGAATTATTTTGTTTTTATTTCTCAAGCTAATTTCATAATACTGTGCAATGTGATAAAATACACACTGTGTTAAAATGGAGTTGAAAGGTGTTTGTGTTTCAGAACAATATATATATAGTTAATGAAATTATACATGTAGGTTCATAAATTAGCAGTGACTCTCCAGTTATTTAGTTATAATTAGTTGTCCACCACAGTACATTTATATCGCTCGGTCTCGACATCTAGTACTGTTGTTTGCAGTTTTATGGAACCAATCTAAGCAGGTTACATTAGTTATTTATTTTCACACGAGAGCCAATAGTAGAACTTCGACGGTTCTAAAACAGAATTTGTTGATTCTTTTTGTACTATAGAAAGTTTACTCTAATGCACGTTTCGTAAATAAAACAATTTGAAATTTTCATAAACCGTAATTCTGTCTTTATAATTATATTTGCAAACGAAGTCGCGGTTATATCTAGGTTATAATAAACTCTGAATAGACTCGCTAGTCCCGTGCGCCATGCCTGTTGAAACTATGTGAAACATCCTTATCAAAGGCATGCACCCACCTCGTATTATGCACCTATACAGAGAATGCCTAACTACAATAACTAAACTGGAATCCAGTACTGAATGTATGTAATACGTCACTCATTCCTTGCATTACATTGGACATAATTCTCTTAATATGCTCAATTAAATTAACTTGTAAAGGAAACCCAAAGGTCCGTTAACATTTTGCATAATATGATTTTGCAAATTTCCATCTAACTTGTAAAATCTTACTTTCATACAAATGATAAAGCTGAAGAGTCTCTATAGAGAATAAGTTTTTATAATAATGTACTTCTAATAAAGTAAATAAATATAATAATGATTTAATACTGGGAAACCTGAGGTTCAAAATCGAAAATAGAAGTTCATACGATTTGCTATTTTTTATTTCTTCTCGGTGAATTTATGAGACGAATAGTGGAGTTGAAATAACTTTCCCTGCACGAGTATATCACCAATCACGGAATCTCAATAAATTGTTTTCTATGTAACACCAAAAAAATATATGATCCCCTATCAAGTCGACCACTACGCTGTTGCGTCTAAAACTATCGTGTTTAATCCTGGTACTACTCTCAAGGATAAGAGATCAGATTACAACCACATCCTATCTGCTTCCATAGGTGATTCGTTAGCACAGGCGGGTCCATCATATCATTAACACTAACATCCCCAATTTTTTTTTCGGACTAATGCTGTTGGCCTTTACAGCTACACCGGACGATAGGAGGCGAGTGCAGATGGTACTCCAAACACAAGGGTGGACTCATGGAGCGGCTGAAGGCCAACTCCCGCTTGACGGATACGACTTTTGTCTGAGGGCACCGCTAGGGATTTGAACCTCGGCTCAGGTTGTCTTAATTTCGATTCCCGTTTGAACTGGACAGGGTATCTATCGGAGAGGATAAAAAAAACTCACCGTTATTAAGGCAGTGTCGCGGGTTCCTTGTAGTGTTATCCAATCCAAAGTCATCGGCGCGACGGCGACGAGATAGAGTTCCGCCTGCCGCTTCAGCAGTAAATATCTCTTCACCTACATATACAAACAATTTAACTATAAAATTGCGGTCCTTTAAGATTAATTCGAGGTAACATTTGTGTTCTGTGTTATCATAATAATAACACAACTGTATATTACAAAAATGTATATAAGTACATTCGTGAAATATCTACCAATAATGCCTCGGATGTCATAATTATGAAGATAATTCAATATTCTACGAACTACATTGCTTTTGATTTATGTTTTAGTTTATATTAATTTTATATTTATTATTAGCTTTATTATTTTTAGTAACTCATTTTAGTAAATGAATATACCAAGACGATTTACTCAAAATGCTAAATGTAAAAAAAAACTTAGTACCTACCTAAATATAGTTATATAGTTGTAAAACTAGCAAATGTTAAAAAGTTAAGAAACTCACATACATATTAATTGACATTAATAAGGATACACTAACCTTTAGAGTTTCTGTTCCTTCTATAGTACCTTCTGTTTGTACTTTCAAGAGGGAAAGGTGATGCTTGACGCTGAGGGCTGCTGACATAACGAGGAGGTTCCTCGCCACCTTCTGATCCATATATTCGTCGCTGTTCATCTGTTCAAACAAATGCAATTACTTAATAGCTTCATTTAATACAAGATAATTTTTAAGTGAATTTGATCGTAAAATATAATGTAATAATAAAAATATCTCAGACCAGGAATGTGAGGAAAATACTGAGTGATTATGCTCTCCTAACTAAACAAATGGTTTATGCCTAAAATATGATTTAGTAGTATTATAAATGTGAAAGTGTGACTGTCTATGTGTTATCACATTTCACTGTTAGATACATGACGTTACAACAATTATTTCAGACATGTATAACATAGTTTAATGTTAATCGAAGCATAAATCATTACAATGGTCCAGACATTACATAATTATGACATAAAAAGTATAAGCATAAGCAAAGTAGGTACCTACCTATATTTTTAATGTCGGTAGGTTATATATATATATATATATATATATTAGAAATTGGTACTCTGGCGGTCTGTTTTAAATAAATTCTATATTAAGGTGAAGGTGTTTCATTTTGTAAGCCCTAGGTAAGTAGAGAAGCTATGCGAGGTATATAAAAGTAGCTAATAATAACTTTCCAAGAACAACTATACTGTAACATTACTATTGTCATTTAAAATAAGCTACAACAATCTATTCCCGTAATAAATTTCGAAACTGTATCTATCGAATTATTTATTAACTTTTTGCAAGTAAACTGCGGAGCAGATAATAATAATTATATAATAATGACCCTGGATAATTAAAACAACGTTATCTGGTTCCAAACTAACTAGAACTTTTGTTATTGGTACTAGTGTATTAAAATTGTGTTCTAAACCGCTAGATCACTGCGGCTTTTTTTTAACTTGTTCACAATATGTAACATCTATATAAGCCAGAAATTTAAAAGAATATGACTTATTTAAAAAAAGAAGACAATTAATTATATACATAGACATAATGTACTCTCAGACCAGAAAACATTATATTTCAGTACAGAACATACAAACTAGTACTTTTATTCAGAATTAATTATTCGACCGCCGATAAAAGATTTTTACTCTACAGTAAATAGGCACTTACCACGGAAATTCCAGTTACTAACAAAGTATCTTCTTCATACAGTCTTCAGTGAAAGTTGTGTTCAACTCAGTGTAAAATACTTTAGTAATAAGTACTCTACTGTATCCGCTCTATATTAAATTTATAACTGTGCTACCTAATACTTCGAAAGGGTTCCCTGTTAATACTTTTTGTTTGAAAATATACAAACAATTTAGGAGTTATAAATTCGCAGCTGAAATAATATTAAAGGGTTTGAGTCTACCGTTAGGTAATGAAAGTTAAGTCGCTACGGTCTGGTGTAGCCGTTGGCAGTATGAAACTAAACACCTTGTTTTAGTTTACACAACGATTCTACAAACTCAATTAGTGTTACAACCTCAGAAAGGCACTTTAAGTGAAATGGCATAAAGTAAATACAGCATATGAACAACAAACGCTAAAAGCCCCTTAACCGCATGTAATTTTATTATTTAACTTACAACGTAAAAGCTTTGGACTACTCCGTTTTATTATTGTTTTTTTTTATTGTTAATTTCGTTTATATAAAATAAAAAGTGATATTTAGTTAACTTTCATTCCCCTTCCAATATTTTTTTAAGACTATGTCCCATTTAATTATCTATCATCCTATAAAATTTCCTTTAGAAGTAAGAAATAGTTTGAGACACACTTTCGAATTTTATAATATTAATATTGTTAAACAATTTTTAAGTACATTCTGTATTCCTTGCTTTTATTAATTCAAAACCTGGTGCATATATTATGAACCCTGCAAAATATAGTCGCCTTATTATAAAAATAAATGGTTATGAAATACCAGCGAAAATAAAGCTCGAATAAAATGAGGAGTTACATTAAACGTTTTACCTTTTTCCGCATCAAAAACTGAGTAGATTTCATTGGCAGTCGTTATAGTACGTGACTATTCTACTCGAGAGTCATAAAAACTACTTCTATCTTCTTCTAGAAGGTTGATGTCCTCATCCATTCATGAACAAGAAATGTAGTTTTTATTTTGTTTTTCCTTATAAATGGCATAACATAGAAAATGTAGTATAAGTAAGTACAAGTAGAAGTTCCCACCGTTCATTGACATTATTGTACTGCATGGTAGTACTTCATTACCATATCAAAAATCATTAAACTAGATATATATATTAAATATTACCTGACGTCCACTACTTTGTCCATATGGTATTTGTTATTCCTTCGATTAACAATTTTACTTATTGTAGTGAATTTATCCGACACCATTATTAAATATAATAAACAGTTTCTAACTTACTACTAATATTCATACGGCTATTTTATAATAACAAACATACGAAAAAGAAAAATAAATTGGCGTGGATTTTTTGTTTAGTTCAGGTACTTTAGGTAATGGAAGAATAGATAGACTAGACCTTATAATGCTTCTTTATAGACGACGTTCGACATAAATTGATTCGGAACATGGACAAATAGTTTGGTTGGCTGACTTACACCGGAGAAAGCTACATAGAACTGGCCGTGCGAGAAATATCTGACACTGCCCGCACCCGCAATACGCAACGTCTGCCCTTGGACTTTGTTAATTGTCATCGCGTAACACAAACTTACCGGGAACTGTACAGGTTTGAAATGGAAGTGATAGTTATTCAGAATCAGTGGAATTTGTGATATAAAAACGCTCGCCGACACCAGATCCCATACTGACATACTACGCATATCATTTTTAAAATTAAATTTGTGTGATAGAAGTCCATGAGTACTTTGAAAATCAAGGAATTCATCTAGATAGTTGCTAGCATCATCTTGCTCCATTACTCGGTTGATAAAATTATATTCCACAAGTTTTCCTTTAACATTGTAATGTGATGCCAAAGGTTGAAGCTTTTTAAGCATGCTTTTATAACGTCGACCGTTGATCCCGTGGTCCTACTAGCTAGCCAACGTTTGTCTAAAATCCTCACAAAACAGCATCGTTATGCCGCCCATGGGTTCACTCATTTTGACGGATATCTCTGAGGGTTCTATCAACCACTTCTATTGCCTTTTGGTGGGCTTTAGTGTACTCATCACAGATAAATAATTACTTTACTTAAGTAGGTTGTATAATAAACTGTATAAGTTATTATAGATTTCTAGCTATCCCGCGGGAACTCTTTAATTTTCTATGATAAAAAGTACCTAAAATGTTATCTAAAATTAGGTAGGGGAGCGGGGGGCACGTTGTTCAGGGGTAGGAAGTTACACGCGTTTTTACCGGGATTTTAAACTCTTTGATGGATATAATTTGACTCATTTGTGTTCTTATAACGTCGTGCACTAGATAAAAACTATCAATGACCCGCCAAGCGCCAAGGAGCTAGGTTGTGTGCATGTGTCTCGATTTCAACCAAGTAAGTAAAAAAATCTTTTACGAAATTTTTGATTCCTGATGTCTATATCTTTTATTTCCTCAAAATTTTTAACCTTGAACGTTCATTACATATCTACCTTGAATTTGCAATATTATTTTATTCTGATATTGATATACATTAATGATGACTTCAATTTATAAAAAAAAACGTATCATGGGGCAAGTAGTTACAATTGTTTGGGGTAAGTTGTTACATGTAACAACTACGCTTAAGCTTACTATAAAATTGAATAATTCGTTAAAGATAATAATGTTTTTGTAGAAAAATTTTAAATACATAGCACTGACAATATTATCTAATTACACTAATAATGAGTGCGTGTTATACTGTAATTATTTATATAAAAAAACATCTATTAAAAAGAGCAACACACAAGTTTGTTGCTCATTCTTCTTGTGATGAATCTGCATTCCGAATGAGTGGTAGAATAAAAAATTTGACTATTCAAAAGTGCTTGTAATGAGTTTATTTGAATAAAGATTATTTTTATTTCTATTTCTATAAAAATCGATTTAAAAAATATTCCCCCCAGTTGGTATAAAAATAATATGGCTGGGCAGGACTGGTTTCCTGGTTTTAAATGTTACAAGACTGTTTAAAATGATGTCTATTGTTTATAATGTTTTAAAATAATAATAAAAAAATATGTAAAAATTTATCTACCGTAACATCGTGCCCCGATGATGTAACAACTAGCAATTGGGGGGTAAGATGTTACAATCGACTTGTTTAGTTAAATTTCCCATCGTGAAAAAATGAAAGAAAAGAAAGAAAGAAAGAAAGAAAGAAAATTGTTTAATTGGTACACTGAAAATAATTTTTAAAAAAGAATTTTATATTAATAAAGAAAGAAAGAAAATTGTTTAATTGGTACACTGAAAATAATTTTTAAAATTAAGTTTACATTTTATAATAATAATTAGAGTACCAACTAGGTCTCCGCTCAGCATATGTCGTGACGGGGTGCTACGACGCTGGTTTTCAGCGGACACCTTATATACAATAAATATAATAAAATAATAATAATAATACACATACATACATAAATCCAGGCGGACAACACAAAGCAAACATTTACGACATAATACCATATATAAATAAAAACCAAACATAAACTACACACTGAAAACATAAAATAAACATAAACGACATACATTTTAATAATTTTTCAGTCATATTTTAATAGCTAAATAGACATACTAACTTTGCAAGTAATCCAATGTATAATTTGTTTCGTTTATAATTGTCATATTAACATTTATCTAAAAATTGTAACAATGTGCCCCCCGCTCCCCTACCATAAACGAAAATTTAGTTCAAATCAGTTCAACAGTTCCGGAGATAAAACTGTACAAACAGACAGAGAATCAAAAAAAAATTAAAAAATGTGATTATTGAATGGATATTCTATTTCACTTCTAACATCCCCAGACTAGATTTTTGGTGTTTTTTTACCTTTACTGTTTTATTATGTATTATATTTATATATGTATTATATTATATAAACAAATATTATTTACTACAAACAAATATTATTTGTTTGTAGTTATACTACAACACAATTAGTCCATAGTTTAATGA